CTCCTCCCCCATCTTCCTCACCCTCGTTCCGCCTCGTTCTTCGTCCTCCTCCTCCTCCTCTTCATCCTCCTCCTCCTTCCCGTCCTCCTCCTCATCCTCCTCTTCCTCCTCCTCTTCCTCTTCCTCCTCCTCCGCCTCTTCACTCAGGACAACATGGTATCCTGCATGTCATACTCAACCCCTTTGGAGCATAATCGGTAACGACTGACCCAACCAGGGCTTCATGCAACCTTCTCATTCCCATCCCCCTTCCCCTCTCTTCCCCCCTCCCCGTACCCCTCCTCCACCTCCCCCCCCTCCTCGTCCTTCGCGTCGTCGTCGTCGTCATCCTCCTCCCCCTCATCTTCCTGCTCATCCTCATCATCACCATCATCACCTTCACCACCACCATCATCAGCATCATAATCAGTAGCATCATCAGCATCATCGTCGTCATCAGCATCAACATCATCATCAACAACGTCGTCAGCATCATCGGCATCAACATGACCAACATCAACAGCATCATCATCATCAGCAGCATCATCATCAGCAGCAGCATCATCAACATCATCAGCATCATCAGCATCATCATCATCATCATCATCATCATCATCATCATCATCATCATCATCATCATCATCATCATCATCATAAGCATCATCATCATCATCAGCATCATCATCATCAGCAGCAGCAGCAGCATCACCATCACCACCACCAACAACAACACAACCATCACCACCACCACCACCACCACCATCATCATCATCATCATCATCATCATCATCATCATCATCATCATCATCATCATCAGCATGATCATCACCACCACCACCACCAACATCATCATCATCATCATCATCATCATCATCATCCTCATCATCCTCATCATCCTCATCATCGCCATCATCATCATCATCATCATCATCATCATCATCATCATCATCATCATCATCATCATCATCAGCATCATCATCCGCCAAGAACCTCCGCCGCCGCCGCCTCCACCTCCGCCTCCGCCTCCGCCTCCTCCTCCTCCTCCTCCGCCTCCGCCTCCTTCTCCTCCTTCTCCTCCTGCTGCTGCTGCTCCTTCTCCTCCTCCGTTTCCTCTTCCTCCTCCTCCTGCTCCTCCTCCGTAGCCATTTTGGCTCAAACTGTCTTGCCCGCTGCGGCCGCGGCCCGCCTGCCATAGCCCCCGCGCCAGCGGCCCGCTGCTGCGGGCGCTCGCGATTCCCGAGCGCAGGTCGTGCTCACCAGCCTGGCACCGCCGCCTGCGCAAGTGCCGAGCGCGGGCGAGGCTCGCCCTCCGCTGCGCCTGAGCGCGCAGGCTCCTGGAAGGCCATCACGGCGAACGTCTGCTGGGTGGCCTCCCTGGCGTTGACATGCCGCCCAGGCAGCCCCCGTGGAAGGCGGCGGCGTCTGGCCAGCCGCAGTGGGCGTGTGTGTGTGTGTGTGGCCACGCGGCTGCGCGGCTTCCTCACAAACTTCAGCACGCGAGACACACCGATGCTGGAAGTGCGGCCGCGGTCGAACTGGACGACTGCCGCCCCCTGAAGATGGAGCGAGCCCAGCGACTCAGCCTCTTGCCAGCTCGGCCTCCGCGAGCCGCCCTCGGAGTCGCCCTCGCTCTGGTGTTGCTGCTGCCCCTGGTCAGCGCCGCAGTGCTGCGGCCGCGCCCGTGGCGTGCAGCGCGCGCGCGGCAAGGCCTCTCGGCGCTCCAGCAGCTGCAGTACGCCGAGGACCACCCGCTCATCCTCGCCGCCAAGCAGGAGCTGGCAGCTTTGGAGGCCGAGGAGCAGAGGGCCCAACCGCCCGAGGGGCTGCTCAGTGGCCTTCAGCAGCGCCTCGCCGACGCCAGGAGCGCGCTCGGCCAGAGGGAGGAGGAGCTGGCCGCCGCCGAGGCGAATGTCGTCAAGCTGCGCGGCCAGCAGGAGCAGCTTGCAGGTGACGCCAGCAAGCTCGAGGTCGAGGTCACTGCCGCCCAGCGCGCCGTGGCCGCCCCAGCTGCAGGCCCCAGCGGTGTGGACTTGGCGGGGATTGTGTCCAACCTGGTGGACTTGCAGGCCTTGCTCACGGCTGCCCCCGCCAGGGCCCACCAGGGCCAGGGCGTCGAGGTCCTGGAGGCGATCAACACGCAGGTGCTGGCGATGGGGGCAGCTTTCCCCGCTGCCCGCACCTGGCAGGCGGCAGCTCACGAGGGTCGGCGCCCCCGCGCTGGGGCCGGCTGCCCCCGCCGCCGCTGGAGGGCTCGCGCAGGCCCCCGCCCCGGCTGGAGGGGATCATCCAGGCGCCCTCCCCTGTGGCCGTGGCGCCCGCAGCCGCCGCGGTAGCAGCAGCAGCCCCAGCTGGTCCAGGAGGTGGTGCTTTTCCAAGCGCCGCTTTTCGCCCCCCAGGTGGGGGCCCAGCCGCGGCGGCATGGGGGGATGTCGGCATGTACTGCTCGTCGTGGCGCGCGCAGATCACACAAAAAGAATGCTACACTGGTTGCGAACAACGGCTCGTCATGGGGATCATGCCGTGAGTTCCTGGACAGGTGTGCTGATCTTTCAAAGCTGTCGCAGCGCAAGAGCTTCGCATCGATGGGGATGAAGTTCAACGGGATGAAGGGTGGGCAGCGCGGGCAGGATGACATGCCATCATCTCGCCATACAGGCGCCTCGAGTCTGGGCGGCGTTCCGCTGGGGTTGGACTCTTCGCCGGGCGCCGCATTGGCATGACATACTTGCCAGGCTGCGCTGAAGCGCCTGGGTCTTTTGAGGTCGCCCCGAACTTCTGCGTCGCCTGCCACGCGGATTTCGGGGTCAAGGGCGGCCTCGTCTTGCTGGCGGCCTACATCGAGGTGAACAAGTGTGGCCTTGGCGCGAACACATCGCGCCTCTTCTCCATCGCGACTGCCTTGAGAGGGCGGAACAGGCGTTTCATCTTGACCGCCGATTTCAATTGTGCTCCCAGTCTGCTCAACGCTGACGGCTCCCTCGACTACATTCCTGCCCGGGTTGTTGCTCGGCCGTGGCGGGGCGGCGGCAATGTCGGCACGCGCAGGAGAGCAAATGGCAACTATTCTAACATTGCCTACTGGTTGGCGAGCTTGTCCATCGCAGGCTCGCTCTCGGCCCCGCAGCCTGTCCAAGGATGGCCTGCGGCGCCGCGCTACCCCATGCAGACGGCCTTGGCGGCAGATGCCAAGTCAGTCAAGTGTTTGATGCTCGCTGGGCCCAAGGCTTGCCCCAAGCAGGCTCCCGAGCACGAGGTCGAGGTCGTCGCCGATCATGACCACTTGGGCATCATCGAGCGAGACGCGGAGTTGGGTGGCAGCCCGTCCTCGGCGCAGGCGCAGGTTAGGTTGAATTACCTCTGCTCCGACTTTGTCGCCATTGCTGAGCAGGAGCTGGCGTTGCAGCATGGACTCGAGGATGACGAGTCTCGCTACGCAGGTCGAACTGCTAAGGCCACCTACTCTTGGCGGCAAGCTGGAGGACCGCCTGCTGGCCCTTACCCTGCTGCCCCTCCTGATGCCAGGATGGCCAGGCGCTTGGCCCAGGCCGCCAAGGACGCACGCACTCGTACCCCACGCGCTCCTCGGCGTCGACCTCGGGGTCTGGCGGGACAGAGCCGTCGACGCTGAACAAGTCCTCGTCGTGCTGCCCCATGCCCTGCTCGACTTCGTGCACCGACGCGTGGGCCACCAGCTCGACCTGCCTGGCGTAGTACGGCACGACGGAGCCGTCGTCGTCCTCGGCCCCCGCGCAATCCACGTACACGTTGAGTCCAGCTCCTCCTTCACCATGCTGTGCTCCGCCCCCGCCGCCGCGGTGACGCAGAGCACGTCCTCGCCGTACTGCGCCTCGCCGCGCTGCTTCTCGTCGCGCACGGCCTTCTCTGCGAGGCGCCAGTCCGCCTCCAGCCCCTTAGACAAAGATCTCGGCCTCCGTCGCGGGGTCCTTCAGCTGCCACGTGCCTGGTGCTAACCAGCCCGTGGTCGCCGCCTCGCTCTCCACGTGGATCCTCCCGTACGGATCCTTTGTCACACACTCGGCGCCCGACTCGACCGCCTTGGGGGCCGCGCTCTCCAGCACAGTCTCCTCCTCGAGCTCCAGGTGGAACGGCACCTTCTTGAAGGCCCCGCCGCAGACGCCCGCCTCGGAAGCCGATTGCTCACTCCTCCACGGGCTCCTCCAGGCGCGACACCTCCGAAGCGTTTTTTTCACGCCGAGCCGCGGGCCGCTCTGCGCCGCGCGGAGCTGCGCAGCACCAGCCCCCAACACGTCGATGCCCTCCGCCACCGCGTGAAGGGCCACGTTGCGCCTCAGGCGAGCCACCGCCGTCGGCTCCTCCCCGCGGACGAGGGCGCCCAAAGCAGGGGCGGCCGCAGCCAAGCGCCTGCTCAGTTCGCCATCCGCGCCCGCAGCGCCCAGCGCCGCCGCGAGGTCCTCGTAGAGCCTGCGCCAGGCCCTCGCCTCGAGCGCCTGCCGGTGGACTGCGGCCTTAGCTGCCGCGGCCGCCGCCTTGCGCGCCTCCCGACGATCCCGGTTTGAGCGCCGCACCGGCGGCGCGGCCAGCGGTTCCATGGCCGACCTCCCGTGAGCCACCATGCCAAGCCCCGCGCGCGCCCGTCGAGCCCGCGGCAATGGGCCAGGAAGGCATGAGGCAAAATGGCTACTAAATGGCTACGGATGATGATGATGTTGATGCTGATGATAATGATGATGATGATGATGATGATGATGATGATGATGATGATGATGATGATGATGATGATGATGATGTTGATGATGATGCTGCTGATGATGATGACGATGATGATGATCATCATGCTGCTGCGGATGATGCTGATGAGGATGAGGATGTGGATGATCATGATGATGATGGATGATGATGATGATGATAATCTGATGAGTACGATGATGACGATGATGATAATAATGCCGACGCTGCCGATGCTGATGCTGATGCTGATGATAATGATGATGATGATGATGATGATGATGATGATGATGATGATGATGATGGTCCGCTCCAGTGCACCGGCGCAGTGGAGAGTGGTTCTGAAGATGAAGATGATGATACTCGTGAAGATGATGACGATGATGATGGCGATGATGATGATGATGATGGTAATTATTATGATGATGTTGACGAGATATGGTGATGATGGTGATGATGATGACGATGATGATGATGATGATGGTGATGCTGATGATGATGATAGTGATGATGATGATGATGATGATGATGATGATGATGATGATGATGATGATGATGATGCTGGTGGTGGTGAAGAAGATGATAATGTTGACGATGATGGTGATGATGGTGATGATGATGATGGTGATCATGGTGATGGTGATGTTGGAGATGATGATGGTGATGATGATGAAGCTGATGCTGCTGATGATGGTAATCCCACCAGCCCTCTGGGCGTCGGTGGTTTAGAGCGTTTCCTCTTCCACCCCTCCTTCTTCCCCTTCGGGGAGGGGTTTACCCCTCCCCCTACCCCCTCCCCACTGACCTGGACAGGGGGTTCCGCGGCGCGCTGGAGCGCCCAAGATCGACCCCTGGGAAGGCTAAAATTCGACACCCCTCACGAGGATCGTGGCTCCTGGGGGGGGGACTCTAATTAAGGAACCCCTCTTCTTTGATCGATTTCCTCCACGATGGCCGCAAGAGGCCCCCAGGATGCCCCAAGAGGCCGCAGGATGGCCCCAAGATGACCCCAAGAGGCCCCCCAATAGGCCCCCAGGAGGCCCCCAAGAGACCCCCAAGAGGCCCCAAGAGACCCCCCAGAGGCACCCAAGGTGCTCCCAGAGGCCCCAAGATGGCCCCAAGAGGCCCCAAGAGGCCCCCACTCGCCTGGGCGTCGTTTCTGGACGGGCTGGTGGGAATACTTTTTTTTTACAGCCGCAGGCGGAAGCGCCAGCGGCGCAAGGTCGCGGGCCGTGGACGCGACTAATTTCTGGTGGGGATACGCGAAGCGTCTAGAATTTTGATGATGCTGAAGATGATGATGATGCCGATGCTGCTGATGATGATGGTGATGACACTGACGATTGCAATACATAACCATGACGATGTCGATGACGATGCTGCTAATGAGGAATATGATGACGATTATGAATCGCATTGGTGGTCATGGTCACTCACGGTGACGATGTGCTCACGCTGCTCGGAGGGAATGTGATGGGTGGGTGTGAGGACTCCGCGGGGGGGTCTACAGAAAGCAAGAAGTTGGCTTAGGACGCGGGGAATGTGGTGACTATTCTGGGAAATACGATGAAGGGGACGACGCATAAACCAAACATGAGGATAAAGCGATAGAACCATGCGTTAAGCTAAGGCCAGGAAGAAACGACAGACCGACTGGCCAAGGTCCGCTGAGCTCTGCGCTGGCTCCGTGCAGAGTCCGCACAGCGCCGGGCAGGCGGCGGAGACTGCGGTCCCCGACGCGCCGAGCTGCGCGGTCCCCGACGGGCCCTCACGAAGGGCGTCGACGAGGTCCGAGTCGCACCCGAGGGGCAGGAAGGTCTCCTGGGCACGCGGGGGGGGATGCAGAACCGCCCACCGCGCCCCCCTCGCCTCCAAGAATACCCCGCCCCCCATGCTTCCCTGGCCACCCCTTCCCCCCCTCCTCTTTGTACGTTCGCAAGCGTGATATTCTAGGCTGTCCTCCTGATCCTCCTCCCCCTCTCTCCAGGCATCTTCAATTACACATTCTGCTTCTCTCCTCTCTCCCCTGACTCGGTCCAGAAGATGATGTGCCGCGCTCTCCGCGCGTGTCGTTTCTTACACACAAGATTGGACCAAGGTGGTTTGGGTATCATTGTATCATGGCTGTTTACATACAATCCCGCTGTTTTCGGTATTTCAAAAGGGTGTTGCTGCTGCTGCAACGTGGGCCTCACTTTCGGATCGGCGCTCTGCTCTCGTCGTCCAGAATGGCGCTCTCGCCCCATCGCGGGCAACTCGTCTGGATCCGCGTCCTTGTTCAACGTTGTCGCTCCCCTCAATTCCCCTCCTCCGCCTTCCCCTGTCCCCCCTTCCCCTCCCACTCTACTCCAGTTCTCGCGGTCCTGTTCATCTTCCTCCTCCTATCTCCTGCTTCTGGTCCTCCTCCTCTTCCTCCTTCTCCTTCTCCTTCTCCTCCTCCTCATATCTCCTCCTCCTCCTCCTCCTCCTCCTCCTCCTCCTCCTCCTCCTCATACTATCTCCTCCTCCTCCTCCTATCGCCTGCTCCTCCTCCTCCTCCTCCTCCTCCTATCGCCTGCTCCTCCTCCTCCTGCTCCTCCTCCTCCTCCTCCTCCTCCTCAGCTCCACCGTTCTGATTGCGCACAGAACTGTGGGGCCTTGTTGGGGGCTTCAGGTCCGCTGGACACGCGCCCGCGCATACAAAAAAAACAAGCGCAACGGGAAGGGATGGGCGGGAGGCGTAGGACGCCAGATATGGCGAGAGCGCACTTCGCCTGTCTCCGCGCCAAAAGGCAACGGCCGCAGCTCGGTCGAGAGAGACTGCCGAAAGCAGAGCGCGCGGGCGCCCCCGACTGGGATTCTGCGAGCGCGCCTCCACTCCTCAGGGAGTGGGATCAAGAGAAGGAGCAGGAAGAGGGAAGTAGGGAGGAGGAGGAGGAGGAGGAAGAGGAAGATTTCCATCGCCGCAAATGCTTTCCCGATTCTTCCCCTAGCCTGGCCATGCGAGCGAGGGTTCGGCCCTCGAGCCGAAACCAAGACAGGGACAATCCCGGATAGGGAGCAATCAGGGATCCCTGAGACCCCGCAGTCGGCGATTCTGCAGGATGTATCGGGCGCGGCGGCATTCGCAGAGCTTTCTCGGAACGCTCTGGGAGCGTTCCGCAAGGCTCTGGAACGATGTGTCCCTGTGCTAGCGCTCCGCTGGAGCCTTCGTCTCGTCTGACTGCTCTATGTGAGCAATTCTTTGCTCGCGGCGCTGGCGGTCGCTCAGCGCGTGGGGGGGGGCCCAGGCCAGGTTGCGAAGCGGCAAATTGGCACCATGAGGGCGGGAGGAGAAGAGGGCGGCCGCGGAGATGGGACTGCTGGCGGGCGAGGCGCTCATGACACGAAGCTCATGACGCCAGTACTGCAGCACAGAGGCTCAAGGCACTGAGTATGCTAAACAGGCCCGCGTAAGAGAGCGTGCCCCGCGCTATGCCGCGTCTGGTGCGTGTCGGGTTCGGTAGCCCCTCTCCCTCTCTCTGAAACAGCCTCACGCTCGGTGCGAGGCAACATGTTTGCTGGGCCCCGCAGGCGCGAGGATGGCCCACTCGCTCCCCGAACATGCTCTGGGCCTCCGATAAGGCAGCGGCGCCCAAAACAGCAAAGTTTGCGGTGGGCCCGTCCGTGACCGCCTCCCCCCAGACCTGCCATCCCAGCCACCCCATGCCACCACCACCCCGCAGCGGGCAGCCCAACTCGATGAGCACTGCAAGCCGGGTGCGAGCCTGCCAAACGTGTGTCGATATCGGGCTTCAGTGAAAACGTGGCACACACTCATCGACACGTTCGTTGTCTTCCCCAGTGAATGTTCAAAGAAGGGGGAAGAAGAAGGGGATGCACCCGACTCACCTCCAGCCGATCATTTACAATGTGTTGTAAAAGCGGCGGGACCGGTATCAGGCTGCAAACCAGAAAGAAACCCCTCTGGTAAAGTAGAACTGGCAGCTTCTGATAGAGAACATGAAACACAATGATAGGAGTGAGGGAACAACAACGCGACCCGTAGGTCGACAAACTTCGCTACATCACCTCAAAGAACGACGGGTGCTCGAATGGGCTGTCGAACTCGATGCAGTGTGAACGAGCGAGTGCATACGCGGGAGTTCTCTTTCACGCGGCTTCAGCTGCGCGAGGTCGCGGCCAGCACGGCGGCACGGACGAGGGCTCTCGGGAGCAGAAAGCACCAGCAGCCTGAAGGGTGCAATGGGCACGCTACGCTGTGTGAACTCTGTGGTCCTTCGGGTGTGACCGAGCCCACGGCAGTCTTCGAGAGCGCGGGGGCCTCTGCAGAAGGGAGTCCAGACGCACCGCTCCGGCTCTGTTGTGAAAGACGCCAGCATGTCCTCAGCACGTACAACACTGGACAATCCGTGCCCCCGCGAGGGCCTGCTCGTAGCACCGGTGAAAGTATAGAAGCCCGCCCGCGATGCCCCTGGTTAACAGGATGAGGACGAGGCGGCACCAGAGGGAATGGGACAAGGATGAAGGAAAGCGGAGGGAGGACGGAAAGAGGAAGGGAAGATGGAGGCACGACTTCTGGACACCGCCCCCACCAACAAGCTGCTCGGCACAAAACCGTGGAGCGGGGCTGTGTTTAGAAAAACGGCACCCCCAAACAAGCTGATCTGGGGGGCCACACGCGCACACTACCCCTGCCCCCCACGATTTCTGAGGGGGGAAGGTGGGGTTCACTTCGCTCGGGAGCTCCCGAGCGAAGTGAACCCCACCCTCCCCCTCAGAAATCGTGGGGGGCAGGGGTAGGGGGTAGGGTTCGCATGTGGCCCCTGATGGTCCGGCACAAGGTACGGACAGGAACTCTTGCGTGGCGTGTGGCGGCGGCGGCCCCGGCGACACGCGATGCCTTGCGAGCGGAGGGCGCGCCGCTCCGCTCCGCGGGGCGGGGCTCCGGGAGAGCTCGGGACTTCGACGCCGGGGGGCAACGGCGTGGGTGGCGTGTCGCGCCTGAGCGCGGTGGGTCCAAACCGGCGGAGCGGCACGCCATCCAAAACACATCCCAACCGCAGGTGGCCACAGATCGGGCACGGAGGGAACGGAGGCGGGAGGAGGGTCCTCGCACGTGACCCCCTTCAGGACGGCAGGGTCCCAGTCCTCGCAGCGGTCCGCCAAGCAGGACAGGTACTCGCGGAGGCCGTCCTCGAGCGAACCGGGAGCAACGGCAACTGCGGAGAGCCTGTCCCCTCCGGGGCAGGAGGAAGAGGGAGGAGGGAGGGAGAGGGGAGAGGAGAGATTGGGGGAGCAGGAGGGAGAAAGGAGGAGGAGGCATGATTGAAAATGACGAGGAGGATGGTGAGGCTCGGAGGAGATGAGAGAGAGAACGATGTGTGTGTGTGGGGGGGGGGACGAGGATAGAGGGAGAAACATGATAAGAAAGAAGAAGCGGAAAAAGTGAACGGGGAAAAGAGGAGGGCGACGACGGAGAAGAAAGAGGAGGAGGAAAATAACGGAAAGATAATGGAAGGAGGAAGTGGTTGAGGAGATTAACCAACCAGTTTGCACATCAAATGGCTATGTAACCAAGCGACAAACAACTCAATACTAGCCCCTTGGGCGGGTCGGCGCCCTCTTCGTGAGCCTCGGTAAGTTTCCCGTGATGATGATGATGATGATGATGATGATGATGATGCTGAATGTGATGATGATGATGCTGAATGTGATGACGATGGTGACGATGATGCTGCTGCTGCTGATGTTGCGGATGATGATGATGATGATGGTGATGATGATGATGCTGATGCTGATGCTGATGATGATGATGATGATGCTGATGATGACGAGAGTTTTTGATGGTGGTGATGCTGATGCTGCTGATGCTGATGACGATGATGATGCAGATGATGACAATGAGCATGAGCATACTGTTGTTGATGATGATGGCGCTGCAAGCGATGTATTTGATGATGGTGATGATGATGACGAGTGCGGTGGTAATGATGATGATGCTGATACCAATGGTGATGTTGATGATGATAATGGTGATTATGGTGATTATGCTGATGATGCTGGTGATGACGACGACGATGATGATGCGGATGATTAAAATGAGGCTGGTATCGCGGATGATGATGATGATGATGATGATGATGATGATGATGAGCATGAGTAAAATGAGTATGATGATGCTGATGACGATAATAACGGTGATAATGATGATATTGATGATGATATTGATGTTGATGACGGTGTTGGCGGTGCTGGTGGTGGTGATGAGGATGCCGCTACTGCTGCAGCTGCTGCTGCTGATGGTGACGGCGACGACGGCGGCGACGGTGACGATACTGGTAACGACGATGATGGGGCTGATGATGCTGACGAGGATGATGATGGTGATGATGATGATGATGATGATGATGACGGCGACGACGACGGCTACAACGACGATGCTGATGATGATGCTGTCGCTGAGTACGATGATGACGACGACGATGACGATGATGATGCTGATGCTGCTGATGCTGTTGATAATGATGATGCTGATGTTGATGCTGATGTTGATGATGGTAATGATGATGATCATGATGGTAATGGTGATGGTGATGCTGCTGATGCTGATGATGAGGCTGATGATGCTGCTGATGATGACGATGATGATGCTGATGATGATGATGACGATGCTGATGATGATGATGCTGATGATGATGATGATGATGATGATGATGATGATGATGATGATGATGCGGCTGCTGACGAGGCGCAACATTGACTCCTCCTCGTCCCTCCTCGTCCGCGCCATCCTCACTCCGTCCCCCGTGCCGACCTGTATCTCCCTCTCCACTCGCCCTTCCCCCTCGACGACTTGGCGGGGAGATCGGGCACCTGCAGCCCCATCAACCCGCTCCCGCCAGCCGCGATCTCGCCCTGCAATCCATCCCTCCTCGACCCCCTGCCCTCGCCTTCCTACCAGGGGGCGACGAGGCAGTCAAGCAATTACCTCCTCTCCTTCCTCCCTCCCTCCCTCCCTCCCTCCCTCATTCCTCCCTCCACGCTCCCTCCCTCCTCCTCCTCCTCCTCCTCCTCGTCCTCGTCCTCCTCCTCCTCCTCTCCTCCTCCTCCACCTCGTCCTCCCGTCCTGCTCCTCCACCCCCTCCCCCTCCTTGTCCATTTCTCGTCTCCTGGTGTCCCCCGAAGCTCACTCAACTTCCTCACGAACTCTGAGAGCACTCGCCAATGTTCCGTGCGGATGGTGCGAAGCCGCGACATGGCCCAGATTAAAAGAGCCTCCTGTGCCAGCCTCGGGGGATGATGAGGACGAGGAGGAACAAGAGGATCGGGCAAAGGGCCACGAGGGTGGGTAAATCCTTGTGGGAGAAGGGGCACGTCGTGGCGGCGGCCTCGGACGCCGCGACGACGTCTATGGCCGAGGGCTCGGACTTCAGGGCGAGCACCGTGCTGCCGGACACGGCGAAGGGAAGGTAGCCGCCGTCCACCTTCGACTCTGCCGCTGCTCACTCCCCTCGGCTGCTGCTGCTGCTCAAACGCCCCGGGCCGTCCTTTGGTTGGGCCACCGAGTCCGCAAGGGGTGCTCTTGGGCCCAAGCTCGACCTGGTCTCGGCGCCTGTGGCGCCCAGGAAATTTGAACGCCCGACATGGGTACGGCAAAAATGGGTGCGCTGTTCAACAGCAAATGTTCTCAAACCGACAACGGCCGCTGTTGGGCAGTCGGCCTTGCTTCAAATGGACAACGTCCGCCGCGATATCAGCAGCGAGTCCTGCTCAAAATGAGCAGGAACTGCTGTCGGGCTTTGCACCTATTCTTCCCGTGACAATGTCAATCTTGTCCAGGAGAAAGCAGAATGGCACGGTGTCGTCTGCTTGAGTCCTCACTCTCCCTTCTCTCCTCGCTCCTCCCCTCCTCCGTCCTCACTCATACCGGTCTCGCAAGCAGGCCGGGATTGGCCGAGCCCCTTCACTCTCCGGCCTGACCAGGGCCCCTGGAGCCCCCACCGGCAAACCAGGCGTTCCGCTCCTACTGCTCCTGATCTTCTGCGTCCTTGGCCTTCTCCTCCTCCTCCTCCTCCTACTTTTCCTCCTAGTCCTCCTCCTCCTCTTCTCCCTCCTCCTCCTCCTCCTCCTCCTCCTCCTCCTCCTGCTCCTCTCCCTCCTCGTCATCCTCCTCTCCCTCCTCGTCATCATTATCCTCCGCCTCCTCCTCCTCCTCCTCCTCCTCCTCCTCTCCTCCTCCCTTCCTCTTCCGCCTCCTCCTCTTCCTCCGCTCCCCCTCTGCGCGCACACTCCTGGCCCTGAGTGGAAATCGTGAGCATGGACCTTGAGCCAGCCGTCTCCCTCGTCGAGGCCGCTGATTATGGAGCCCCAGGCCAACGGCTTCATGGTGTCGTCCTGGGGTGAACACAATGTTGAGGAGGACCAGCGAGAGGGGAGGGCCAGTATAGGGATGAGGAGCAGGATGAGGAGGACGCGCAAGAACTAGAGGATGAGGATCAGCGCGAGGATGAGAGCGGATGCGCGAGGTCAGAGCAACGACTCCAACCATCGCACGGCATGGCATGCGCAAACGCCCGCCGCTGCGGATCAGAGCGGGGGGCTGCGCCAAGGGCGGTACGCCCCCGCACTCCCCCCCCCGCACGATCCTCTCCGTATGTCCCCCCCTTCCACCCCCCCGAGTTTATTCCTCTGTGTCATCCCCTCGTATGGCCCTGCCGTACGGTCCGCGCGCGCGCCGGCCCTCCCGCGCGCGCGCGGACCTCCCGCGCGCGCGCGGACCTCCCGCGCGCGCGCCGCCGTGCCGGGCCCTCCCGCGCGCGCGCCGATGGACACCACGTGTGACTCCAGCAGCAGCCAGGCTCCCCCCTGCCATACACCTTCCGGCGAGCCTGCGGGCTCGAGTCCCAGGGCGCACCTCCCCGGCCACTCCCCCCCCGCAACATCGCCTTGGTAGAGGAAGAAAAAACCATAACCTAAACTTTTGGCGCTCCGCGCGGATTTCTTGGATCTGCGCTGGACCCCCCTCCCTGGCGCGCGGAGAGCGCCAGGGGCGGCGCCGGAGGTGCCGCCAGGGGGGCCAACGCGCGGATCCGAGAAATCCGCGCGGAGCGCCCAAAGTTCATGTCCATGCCGTTGTTTCACAGTTGGAGTCTGGGGCGCTCGTGGTGAGCATTGGCCTCCCGAGGACCCCTCTGGGGGGTCGCGGCCTGCCGCTGGCGCCCCGCGGCCCGCTTCGGGCCTGCAGCGGCGGACCGGACGCCAGGCTCCCATCTCCAGCTGCGTGGGTCATCCCCCCTCTCCTCAAATGCCCCGAGGTCGAGGCTACGGGCCCGAGTGCTCTACGTCGCGTGCATGTGAGCGTTCCTGGAAAGCTCACAGGTCCGAGACGTGGAGCACGGTGAAGGTGAAGTCGTTGGGAGGAACATGAACCGTCAGAGTGCACTCCTTGCAGAGCGCATTCACCGTACGCGGGCCTTGAACGTCCCTCTTGGGCCACTAGTATTCGGACCCGCAGGCTTGCCCGAGACGCGCATTGCAATTACCAACAGCACATTGTCATGGTCACAGCTCTCACCTGGCGATGGTGAGCCGACATAGCAGGCGACAGCCGCTGCCCAGGTCTTGCCGTGCCGTGCCTTCCCCCCCCCCCCTCATCCTCCGATGTAATATTTCTATCATCCCCTTCCTTTCTCCGCGTCGCGCTCCTAGTCCTCCTTCCTGCTCTCGTGCTCATGTCCAACTCTCCACGTGGTCATCCTTGTTCGTACCATGTTCCTGCTCATCAGCCCTCTCCCTCCTCCTCGACCTTATCATTGTAAGCGACAGGACACGCACTGCACATGCCACTTCAATAATGAGGTATGATTCGATATCCGACTCGATGAACGAAACGCACTGTGAGGGGATGGGCGGGGGGGAAGGTTTACGGATGTCGTGGGCGCACCTACCTTGCTTCCTCTCCTCTCCTCCACTCTTCTGCCTGCTCCCCTTACACACTGTGCGCTACACCCTTCTTTGCCCCCCCATTTCCCTGCCCCCCTTCCTCCCATCCTCGGAAAAATGGGGGTGGGGGAAGGAAGGGGGAAGAGGAGGGAAAGGAGGGGGAGGGGGAGAGGAGAGAGACGAGCAGAAGGCGGACTGACGGACTGACGGACCGACGGACTGACTACGTCAGGTCGGGCGACCTGCTCGGCACTACGGCCGCAGCACGCAGCGCCGCGAGAGAGGAGCCTTCCTCCTGCCCGCAGTCGAGGTGCGAAAGGCACCAACCAAAACCGCAGCCCCAGAGGGCCGCGCACGGCCCCCAAGGGGCCCAAAGCCAGGAGGGCCAGGAGGGCCAGGGAACCCGCCCCAAAGGACCGAGACGAGCAGAAGGAGGCGGAGGAGGAAGAGGAGGAGGAGGAGGAGGAGGAGGAGGAGGACGACGACGAGGAGGACGAGGAGGAGGAGGAAGGCAGACCCCCCCCCTCTCCCCCTAGATTGCCCGTCCTTGTCGCTAAGGCTCTTGGTGAGGCGGTACGCGAGGCCGCCCACCTTCTTGCGCAGTTTCTCGTCGCTGGACTCCACCGTGTAGTACGCCCTCTCCTTGCTCGCGACCTTGACGGCCCTTGCGGGGGGAGGGGGCAGGGAGGAGGAGGGAAGACGAGGAAGAGCACGAGGAGGAGCAGGAGGGGCTGGTCGGCCTTCCCCTACCTCCGCTCCCTTCCTGTGCCCCCGCCGCTGCCGGCCCTCGGGCGCTCTGTCCCCGCGTCGATTTCGAGCCCAGAACTCGGGCCTCCGTCGGGACGACTCGGACGCCCCCAGGAGCGCGTTCGGCGTGGCGCAGCTGCCGGAGAGCACCCCGAGGCCGCAGAGAGCCGCCAGGAACTCGCGAAGGCGTCGGACGACCTCGAACCCCCCCCTTCCCCTGCGATCCGACAGCGCTCAAAACATTCAAACATAGTGAAGCATCGCGACCAGAGCCCTAGGCCCAATCTTTCTGTGCCAATTTTTCGAGCCCGATCGATCTGTGAGAATCCCCGAGGCCCGAAACCATGCGAAAACGCCGGGCTCGAACGAATTGAGGCGACAGAGTCTCTGGGTCCTTCACATTCCCCTACTGGTGCCCCCGCCCCCCTCCTTCCCTGACATCCGCCGATGTGGTTTGTTGGATCTGTTTTTGGTAGCCCCAAGGACGGATAACTGACACCCGAGGCCGAAACTGAGAAAAAAAAAAAACGCCCAGACTGAAAAAAACCATCGTCGGAGGTCTGGGTTCACACTTCAAGCCAATCCTCACACCCCTCAGTGAACCTAGATCCGCTGCTCTTTGGTCGATTTTCCGCCTTGCAATTGTGTCGGACATTTTCCGTAAACGATGCGGAACAGTAAAATGGAGTCTCCCGCCTTAGAAAAAGTAGAGTGGGCATTTCCGGAAAGAAGTATGGCGGAAACAGCGAGGGCAAAATACGGCGGACGTCGGCAGCAGAGGAGCTTGAGAAGTGGGGCGGAAACTTCCGCCCTACTTGCGAAATTGCTACAGGTGCGGTGGAACCGCGGACCCAGAGACAGGGGCCCGCCTCTCCTCCCTCCATCCCTCCCTCCTCGCGGGGCAGACGACATGGGGGGATAGGGAAAACGGGGGTTACGAGATCAGCTGCGCGAGCTGATTCGATCACCCCCCCTGTACTACCGCCCCACCCTTCGTCCGACCCGATCCTCTTCCCTCTCTGGATTTTTCTCGTCCTTGACATCCTGGGGGTGCGGGGCACAGATAGGGAGAGGACCGGCTCAGGCGGGAAAACATCGAGCTGGAATCGCCGATGCATCGCCTATGGATCGACGATATGCCCCCGATGGTGAATCCGCACGTGCCTGGGCAGTGTGGGGCTATTGGGCCCTAGTCAGTGTTGAATGGGTGATTGGGGGACGTTGCGTTCCCCCCTGGACCGTTTCTCCCTTATCTGGGCAGCGCGCAGAGGGGGGTAGGGGGAGGGGGGAGGGCTTCTTAGATGCACCCATCCTTCTTAGAAGGCGCGGGCCTCACATCTGTAGATCAGGCCCGCGTCTTCTAAGAAGCAAGTGTTCGGCGGTGGACAAACCTCCCTTCAGTAAACCTCCCCTCAGTGAAAACGGCCTGGGACCGAAACCGACGGACCTGGACCTGCAAAAATGACGGCCGCGACGCCCTCTCGCAAACCGAAAACGGCCAATTCCTTGATCGACGCTTCAGGGTAGGATTTTGCATCAACCTCCGAAGTGGGGTTCCAGGAAGCGTTCCCGCCTCCCCCTAACCCCACAGGGTCTTTTGACCCCCCCCCAATAGTGCGCAAATGAATGGTTGTCCCGCGGGCTTATTGACGGACTGGGACCCCAGCATCAATTGGAAATATTATTTTCCGTGTGGAACTCGGGCCCCACGGGGAGGGAGGGAACCCGCGAGGACCGTGAGAAACTTCATCCTCGATTTATCCATCCTAAGGAAAATGCGCGACTGCCTAAGGAGAACGTAAGGACAACCTAGGAAAACCGAAAGACAACCTAAGGACAACCGAAGGAAAACCTAAGGAAAACCTTGTACTACGTGCCTTGCACGAACAGGCTCCGAAAACCTCCCCCGTGTAGGGTAACCCACGCGGGGTTGTTTTCCAAGAGAAAGAACCACCCACCAATACCCAGCACGGCGAACAATATCGGGATTCGAATCCTGGCCGAGCGGGCAGGGAGGGACTGATTGGACTGATGGGTCGGATTGGACTGATGGGGACTGATTCGGTTGATTGGCGCTAATTGGACTGGTTGGGCAGATGGGGACTGATGGGGACTGATTGGGTTGATGTGGACTGACTGAACATGAGCAGCGACCTGAGACGGAGGGATCTTGACTACGTGCCTTGCACGAACAGGCTCCGCAAACCTCCCCCGTGTAGGGTAGCCCACGCGGGGTTGTTTTCCACGAGAAAGAACCACCCACCAATACCCAGCACGGCGACCAATAACGGGAATCGAATCCTGGCCGAGCGGGCAGGGAGGGACTGATTGGACTGATGGGTCAGATTGGACTGATGGGGACTGATCGGGTTGATTGGCATTGATTGGACTGATTGGAATGATGGGGACTGCTTGGGATGGTGGGGACTGATGGGGACTGACTGGATTGATTTGGACTGACTGATTCGAACAGCGATTCGAGACGGAGCGATCTTGTACTACGTGCCTTGCACGAACAGGCTCCGAAAACCTCCTCCGTGTAGGGTAGCCCGCGCGGGGTTGTTGTCCAAGAGAAAGAACCACCCACCAATACCCAGCACGGCGAACAATATCGGGAATCGAATCCTGGCCGAGCGGGCAGGGAGGGACTGATTGGACTGACGGGTCAGATTGGACTGATGGGGACCGATTCGGTTAATTGGCATTGATTGGACTGATTGGACTGATGGGGACTGCTTGGGGTGATGGGGACTGATGGGGACTGACTGGGTTGATGTGGACTGACTGACACTGAACAGCGATTCGAGACGGAGCGATCTTGTACTACGTGCCTTGCACGAACAGGCTCCGAAAACCTCCTCCGTGTAGGGTAGCCCACGCGGGGTTGTTTTCCAAGAGAAAGAACCACTCACCAATACCCAGCACGGCGAACAATATCGGGATTCGAATCCTGGCCGAGCGGGCAGGGAGGGACTGATTGGACTGGTGGGCCAGATTGGACTGATGGGAACTGATTTGGCTGATTGGCGCTAATTGGAAAGGTTGGGAAGATGGGGACTGATTGGGATGATGGGGACTGATGGGGACTGACTGGGTTGATGTGGACTGACTGAACATGAGCAACGACCTGAGACGGAGCGATCTTGTACTACGCGCCTTGTACGGACAGGCTCGGGAACCCCCCCCCGTGTGTGGTAGCCTACGCGAGGTTCTTTTCCAGGAGAGATAACCACCCACCAACAACCAACACGGCGAACCATAACGGGAAAAAAATTCAAACTGATCGCTACGGCCACTACTAGTTCTACTACTACCACTACGACTACTACTACTACTACTACTACTACTACGACGACGACGGCGACGACTACTACTACTACTACCACTACTACTACTACTACTACTACTACTACGACGACGGCGACGACTACTACTACTACTACTACCACTACTACTACTACTACTACTACTACTACTACGACTACGTCTACTACTACTACTACTACTACTAATAATACTACTACTACTACCACTACTACTACCACTACTACTACTACGACCGCCACTGCTACGACTACAACTTCTACTACAACTATTACTACTACTAGGACCACTACTACTACTACTACCACTACTACTACTACTACTACTACTACTACTACTACTACTTCTACTACTATTACTACTGTTACTACTACTACTACTACTACTACTACTACTACTACTACTACTACTACTACACTACTACTACTACTACTACTACTACTACTACTACTACTACTACTACTACTACTACTACTACTACTACTACTACTACTACTACTACTACTACTACTACTACTACTACTACTACTACTACTACTACTACTACTACTAACTACTACTGCTACTACTTCTACTACTACTACTACTACTACTACTACTACTACTACTACTACTACTACTACTACTACTACTACTACTACTACTACCTACGTACTACTACTACTACTCCTACTACTACTACTACTACTACGACGACGACGACTACTACTACGACTACTACTACGACCACTACGCTCAAATAACTACATACTACAACACTACTATTACTACCACTACTACTACTACTACTACTACTACTACTACTACTACTACTACTACTACTACTACTACTACTACTACTACTACTACTACTACTCCTACTACTACTACTAACTACTAACTACTACTATTACTACTACTACTACTACTACTACTACTACTACTACTACTACAGTCCTCGTAGCTTGCGAGAGGTCCTCAGTCCTCGTAGCTTGCGGGAGGTCCTCAGTGGGGGGAGGGAGAGGGAGCGAGGGGGGAGGACGGGGGGAGGGGGGGGGAGGACGGGGGGGCGCGGAGTTTTATTCCCCGGAGAGAGAACCAGGGGGGAGGGGGGGGGCCCTTTTCTAAAGACCCTACCGGGTTACCCCCCCTTTGCGCGTGGCTGGCTGCCCCTGATAGGGGGCCTTGCCCGCCCTCGGACGGGTGTCAATTGAAGAGGCCCTGGGAACACACACACACACACACAAACACACACACACACACACACACACATACACACAAATACACACAAACAACAGGATTCCCTATATTTTCCCATATGTTCTGGGTTGTTGTCTTCCCCCCACTTCCCATATTTTCCCATATTTTCCCAGGAATCGACGATTCAGTGTGTCTGTGTATGTTTTTCCCCTCCTGATGGTGATGGGAGTTGAAGTAAATGAGCGGTGAAGAAACAGGCCCCTTCACGGGCCCTCCAGGGCCCTCCAGGCCCCTGCTGGCTCCTTTCGGGCCCTTCTCTTCACCCCCCATTGAGGGCCCCCCCCCCGTTTCATCACCCACCCCACCCCCCCTGGGCCCTGGGCCCCGGCCTCTTCCCCGTGCTGACGAGCTGCATCGCGCCAGGCGAGGCCCTCGTCTCCATGTCGGCCCCCTCGGCGACGGGGTCGCGGCGCGCCGCCCCCTCGGCGACGGGGGGCGCCAGCGGCGGGCGCGGGAGGGGGGCGGGAGGAGGAGGGGGGGGGAAGAGGAGGTAGGGTGGAGAGAGACCCAGAGGTCCAACGCATCGAAAACGTTTCGTCGTAGTTTTCGGCCTCTGGAGGCCCTCGCCAGCTCCGGGACCGCCAAGAGACGGCGCGGGATGGAAAGTTGGCCCTGGGGAGTGGGTCGGGACAGCCAGGACCCCGCATTGAGAAAATCAAGACGCCGCATGTATGGGGAGAGAGGAGGTGTGAGAGTGAGATGGAGGGAGAATGCGGCAGGATCGTGTCGTGACGACCCTAGCATTGGCCCCTGACACCGCGTGGATCGTTCCACCTTGACCGCTCGCCAGATCGTCCCATTTGGGCCGATTCTGTGACGGTGGCGGCGCTCAACCTTGAACGCCCGCGGCGGGGTCTCTGGCGCGTCGACACGGCGCGAACCTGCCGTGCAGGAAGATGGAGGAGAAGGCGGGTCTACATGTGCCTGTGCGTGCGGGCGGGCGTGTGCGCGTGCGCGCGTCTCGCTGTCGGTCGGCCTGCTCTGCGCCGCGCCGCTGCGCGCGTGGCCGCGACGGAACGCCAAAGCAAGTGCGCATGCGCGTGCGCGCGCTATCGCGGCGCTCTCCGCTAATGACATCAATCTCAAGACGCTTCCGATAGGTCAACCGCTGATCAAACATGTCACTACCGAGAGTACTCATCTGACTGTAGGAGGATGGAGGAGAAGGCGGACGGGAGAGGAGCCGAGAGGAGGTGGGGGACAATATGCCGTAGTCCAGGTTCGGAGTTAAGAGGGGGAGGGGAGTGGCGGGGAGGTGGGAGGGCGGGCAAGCAAGGGCGAGAGCGATGGATGCTCTGGAACACCAACACCGACCGCCACGGAAACTCGGGCTCTCTTCGCTTCGCGGTGCTGACGCGGTAGTCTCTGGTTCGCCTCTGCTCCGCTCCGCCTCTGGTCCTGTCGTCAACGATGCTCGTGCGATGCTGCATCGTAGGCAATTTGGCCCAAAGAGCCCCTGGGGGGCGAAACGCGTACAGTCAACCCGCATCACGAAGATGCGCGGTAAGGATGCAGGGGCCTTGGAAGGCCACGTCGACACTTTGCAGGCGGGGCGCGGCCAGCGAAAGCGGCCGAGGAGGGGCCGAAGGAGTAGGATGCAGAGGTACCCTTGGGAAGGTTGCCCATCCTTACGCGGGCCGACTGTCGCCTCCTCTGCGCTTCGCCCGAGACTCGATCCGAAAAAACACGGGATCTTCTGCATGCCCGTGCACTTCCACGGGGGGGAGGACGGCGGGAGAGGGACTCCGGGGCCCTCCAGGTCTGCCTGGGTGGCCCCCGGGCGCCGCTGTCCCTCGGGGTGCGCACGGTCGGCCGGAGGGGATCGGCAGCTTGGGGATCGTCTTCGGCACGCCCGTTTGCAGTCGGCCCGTATCATGAGGATGAGCCAAAAAGAATGGAAGAGCTTCGGACGCCCATGTCGAAGCTGTTCGAGAGGGGTGCGGCCAACGAAAGTGGCAAAGGATAGGCCGAGGAGGCAAGGACAAAATGGCACCCTCGGAAAAGTTGCCCAATCTTACCATGCGGGTCGACTGTACCTCCACAGTGGGAGAGAGGGCGGGTAAGGGCAGGAAATCGAAAAGGGCCGCCGCGGCGGGGTCGCGGAGCGTCGCGGGCCTGCGCAGAAGCGTTGGTCGACGACGCGTGGGCCCTGGTCTCCTCTACGCGGCCCGAAAGGGGAGGGGCAGTCCGAGGATCTCTCTGCTCATCCTGCGTCCTCTTCCCCCCCGTTGTCGACGTCCTCCTCCTCCTCCTTCTCCTCCTCCTCCTCCTCCGCCTCCTCCTCCTTCTCCTCCCCCTCCTCCTCCTCCCCCATCCTTCTCCTCCTCCTCTCATTCACGCTTCCGCCCCCTTCCTTCGTCGTTCACTGTTTCCCCAGCAGAAATGACCAGGAAAGGCAGATCGTGAAATCCGCTGTCGCCCAGGACGGCTATCCTCCTGGGACCCCTTGGGGGCCGTTTGGAAAGCCTTGTCGGGGCCTCTTCTGGGCCGCTTGGGTGCCTCTTGGGGCTTGTTCGGGGCCGTTTTGGGGCTCTCTTGGGCCGTCTCGGGCGCCTCTTGGGCCGTCTTGGAGCCCTCTTGGGAAGTCGTGCGGGCCTCTGGCCAACTTGGGGCGGTTTCGGGGGCGTCGTGGGCCGTTTTGGAGCGTCGGGAAGCCCAAAAGTCGCACGTGCTAAAAACGCACGCGTTCCAAAAAGAATGTGACGGTGTTGGCCTCTTGGGGCCGTCTTGGGAGGCTACTTGGGGCTCACTTGGGGCGTCTGGGAAGCATCTTGGGCCGTCCTGGGGCCAACTGTGGCGCCTTGGAGTCCTGTTGGCCCGTGTGGAGGCCCTTTGGGCCGCCTTAGGGCCTCCAGGGGTACTCCTATATTTATATGTGTGTAAATACATGTATACACCGATGTGTATGTATGTATGTGTGCGTGTATGTATGTATGTATGTATGTATGTATGTATCTATGTATGTATGTATGTATGCATGCATGCATACATGCATGCATGCATGCATGCATGCATGCATGCATATATGCATGTATGTATGTATGTATGTATGTATGTATGTATGTATGTATGTATGTATGTATGTATGTATGTATGTATGTGTATATGTATGCATGTGTATATGTATGTCTGTGTATATGTATATGTATATGTATATGTATATGTAAATGTATATGTATATGTATATGTATATGTATATGTGTATGTGTATGTATGCATGCATGCATGCATGCATGCATGCATGCAGGTATGTATGTATGTATGCATGCATGCATGTATGTATGTATGTATGTATGTATATATGCATGTATAGATGTATGTGTGCATGTATGTATGTATGTATGCATGTGTGTATGTATGTATGTATGTATGTATGTATGTATGTATGTCTGTATGTATGTATGCATGCATGCATGTATGTATGTATGTATGTATGTATGTATGTATGTTTGTATGTATGTATGTATGTATGTATGTATGTATGTTTGTATGTTTGTATGTATGTATGTATGTATGTATGTATGTATGTATGTATGTACATATATACATGCATATATGTGTATAAATATGTGTGAATATATACATATATATACATATATATTTATATATGTATATATATGTGTATATGTATAGATGCATGCATGCATGCGTACATGCATTCACCGATGTGTGAAAATATACACACGTTTCCTTTTCTTGTATGTTGACGAGCCGAAAGGATGAGACCCCCCTTCCAAAACCGAGCCCCCAGGATCCTGGATTTCGGGGCCTCCTGGGCACCCTTGCCAACGGTGCCCTGGCTCGCCCCGGACCTCTCGGGGCGCTTGGGCGGGTCTACCCAGCAGACCCCAGGCGATCAGAGCGGCGAGCAGAAAGGCCGAAGAAAGACCCAAGACAGCACAAGAGCGCTGCAAGAAGGACCCAAATGGCGTCCAGAGGCCCCCAAGACGGCTTCAGGAGGCCCTGAACAGGATTCCCAGAACGCAGAAACCCCTTCATTCCCTTAAGCCCACGGAGGCCGTGGGATGCCCCCCAGACAGGCCATGGGAGGCCACCATGTGGGCTCACGTGGCCCCCGTAAGGTCCACAGAGGGCCCAAGCTCCCCAACGCGGCCCCAAATGGCCCAAGGTCGGCTCGAGAGGGCCCCAAGCTGGCCAACCAGGGCTCCAACAAGGCCCACGCGGCGTTTTCCACCAAAGTGACCAGAATCCAGGGTTCGCAACCACATGCCTGGGAAATTTGTTGCGACCCCGGGATCCGGTGCATTCCCTAAGAATTATTTACTGTCGCGTGCCCCGATGCGACCCGCTGCAGTGCGACATCCTCGGTTTGGCATTGCGTTGTACTTTGCAACGTTGTTTGACAGTGCGTCGTTTGTTTGGCATTCATTCACGTGGCTTACCATTCCTTCGAATTGCCTACCGGGGCACCTGAACCACGAGCGGGCCAATGTGCGTGCCCACGAAGGCCTTTCGTCGTCATTCACTGCCAGACAATTCTGCAAGCGTGTACGTACACATGCAACTGTAACCGCTGGCTTCTGGACAGCGGTCCTCGGTGCGGCGCAACCGAAATTCTTCGCCGTCCCTCGACGGGGCCATCTCTTTCACTCCTCCTGCTCCTCCTCTGGGTCCTCTCCTCCTCCTCCTCCTCCTCTTTCTGCCGCTCCACTGCTCGTCCTCCCCCACATCCGCTTCCCTCTCCTCGAACCCCGAGGTTACCTCCCTCCTATCCTTCGCCCTCCTTCCGGCGTGTTTCGGGAGCCCCTGGGGTCCCGGGAAGGGCCACAGACCGCCCGATGTTTTGAATAATTCCGACAACCACCGCAGGGAAGGGGCCACACTTCCAAGTCCTCTAGGGATGGCGCGAACGACCAACATAAGCAAAGCCTCAAGGACCAAGGTGCATGGCGCGGGGCCATATTTCCATGTCCACTAGGGATAGCGCGAACGACCAACATAAGCAAAGCCTCAAGGACCGAGGTCCATGGTCCATGGCGCGAAGCGCCAATGCAGTCCTGAGTATATATATATATATATGTACTACATATATGAAGCCATATGTCGAAGTGTGCGCATGACTATATATATATATATATATATATGCATCGCTTACTTACATGTAAATGTGTATACATACCATATACTCTGGGAAACAACGTCTCTGCCACCTCGCCAGCCAAAAGCCACCGGATCCAGGTGGTCTCATCCCTCCAGCCCGAAGCGAATACGACGTCGACCTGCTTCGCTCCAACATGGACGCGGACATCCGTTGTCAACGGCGCACACCGCGAGGCGGGGATGCGACGTGGCGCGCACCGTGCGCGACCCAGCGAACTGTTCCTCTCGCCTGCGAGGCGCGGCGCCGCGCGGGCAGGCGAGATGCAGTTCTCGCAGCAGCGCTCGGCGGGTGTCGTCTGAAGGTGGCGCGCGGGGCCTGGGCGCGGCGCGTGGTGCTCGCCGACCAGCCGATGGGGGCGCGGCCGCGCGCGAGCGGGCGAAGTGCAGTCATCGCCAAGGCGCTTGGCAGACTTCTGAAGGTGGCGTTCGGGGCTCGGGCGCAGCGTCTCTTGTTCGCTCGGCCAGGTCGTTCGGGGCGGAGCCGCACGCGAGGGGGAGAATTTGCCGCAGTCGCGCAAAAAGGGCGCTCCCACTTGGGCGCAGCGCATCTCGGCCGCCCAGTCGATGCAAAAGCGGCAGCGTGGACGCGAGCCAGCGGGCGAGATGTGGTTCTCGCCCAAACGTCGCGGACAAACAACGCCAGGAAAGTGGCAATGCTGTTTAGGCGCGGCGCGTGTCGCATGTCTGTTTTCGCATCTCTGATCGGAAAGTTGGCCGCGCAAGAGAGAGAGAGAGAAAGAGAGAGAACAAAAAAAACAAAGAGAGAGATAGAGAACTAATAGGGATATTGCCACAGCGTTGCGCAAGGATGTTATGACAGTGCCGATCCCACCCTTGCGTTGCCAATGCCTCTCCTCCCTCGTCGAGTCGTCAGATGCGGGGGAGAGCCCGCACGCGTGTTCCCTTCGCAAAGTGCGAACGAGCGACGACCGCCCGTCTCAATATCCAGATGGACCTTCATGTGTCCGTGTGTGATGCGATGGAGGGCAGGCGTGGGCGGGGTCCGCTGACTCGGTTGACCTGGCGAACTCGACTCCCCATTAGGGAGGTCACACAGGACGTTCACGCCCAACCACGTGCATAAATACGGCCCCTCAGTCCGCGAGACTAGCCTCGTGATACGAGTGTCCTTCTTCCGCTCCTGGCCTTCTCGTCTTCCCCTCCATTTCCCATATGTTCCTGGGAGGCGATGCTTATGTGTGTGTCTGCTTTGTTTGTTTTCTCCTCCTGAGCTCCCTATGCCCTAGCCTTCTCCGTGCCTCCCTCACTCCGTCGCCCTCCCCCCTCTCCTCTCCCACCTCCCCCCTCACGCCCTCCCACCTCCCCCCCCTCCCCCCTCTCTCCTCGCTCTCTCTCCCTCCCTCGCTCGCCCCTCCCCCTTCCCCCCCCCGTGCCGCTCCTCGCCCTCGAATAGCGACGGCGCCACGGACTTCATCGCCGCCACGGCCCCCGCGGAGAAGAGCGAGAGGACGTGGGAGGGCGACGAGGCGTCCGAGCCGCCCAGCCGCGGCATGGCCTCGGCGCGGCGAGGGGGGGGGGGAGGGGAAGGGGGAGGGCTCGTGTAAAAGGGGCCCAGGGACACAGAATTTCGCTGCCCCAACGGGCCAGAGGCGCGCTAAGATCTCTGGCAACGGGTTAACCACCTTTCTAATTCGCGCGCGCGTGGCGGCCCCTGGGGACCCCTGGACGAGAAGTACCCCGACCGGTCTGACTCAGGCGCCCCAGAGCCCTCCTAGAGGGTCCCAAGAGTCCCCAAGAAGGTCCAAAAGGGCTCCGAGTCGCCGACCGATCGGTCCGAGACGCCCAAAATAGTTTCCAGACGGCCGCAGACGCCCCCAAGACGCCCAAAGAGGCCTCGAAGAAGCGTCTCAAGAGGGCCCCAGGAGGCAAAACCATAGATTTCCCATCGGTTATTGAAAGATTTTGGCGGTCTCCTCTTTTCTGCTTTCCAACGCTCCAAGACGGCCCAAGAGGTTCCCGAGACCGCCCCAAGACGGCCCAAGAAGCCTCCAAGAGGGCCCCAAGACGGCCCAAGATGGCCCCAAGACAGCCCAACAGGCGCCCAAGATGGCCCAAGAGAGCCCAAGCCGACAGAACTACCACGCCCGGGGAGGGCTCTCAGAATTTCTGGGGGGGTAAAAATTGACACCCCTCACGCAGATCCGCAGGCTCAGGGTCCAAAAACACAAGGGATTTGCCACATGTTTGAACTTCAGTGGCACCCCTCATGCAGATCGGCGGGGTCAGGGTCCAAAAACACAGGGGATGCGTCTCATTTCTCAAATTTGGTGGCACCCCTCATGCAGCTCGGGCGGGGTCAGGGTCCAACAACACAAGGGAATTGCCACATTTCTCAAATTCGGTTGCACCCCTCACGCAAATCGGCGGGGCCAGGGTCCAAAAACAGAAGGGATGTGCCACATTTCTAAAATTCGGTGGCACCCCTCACGCAGATCGGCGGGGTCAGGGTCCAACAACACATGGGATTTGCCACATTCCTAAAATTCGGTGGCACCCCTCACGCAGATCGGCAGGGTCAGGGTCTACAAACACAAGGGATGTGTCACATTTTTGAAATTCGGTGGCACCCCTAATACAAATCGGCGGGGTCAGGGTTCAAAAACTCACGGGATGTGCCACATTTTTGAAATGCGGTGGCACCCCCTGACCAGATCCGCAGGGTCAGGGTCCAAAAACACTGGGAATGTGTTATATTTGTCAAATTCGGTGGCACCCCTCACGCAAATCGGCGGGGCCAGGGTCCAACAACACAAGGGATCTGCCACTTCTGAAATTCGGCGGCACCCCTCAAGCAAATCGGCGGGGTCAGGGTCCAAAAACAAAAAAGATGTGCCGCATTTCAAAAATTCGGTGGCACCCCTTTCGCAGATCCGCAGTGCAGGGTCAATAAAAACAATAGCATGTGCAACACTTCTGAAATTCGGTGGCACCCCTCATGCAGATCGGCGGGGTCAGGGTCCAAAAACATATGGGATGTGCAATATGTTTGAAATTCGGTTGCACCCCTCACGCAAATCGGCGGGGCCAGGGTCCAAAAACACAGGGGATGTGCCACATTTCTGAAATTCGGTGGGTCATAAAAACAATAGCATTTGCAACATTTCTGAAATTCGGTGGCACCCCTTACGCAGATCGGCGGGGTCAGGGTTCAAAAACAAACAGGTCCCGACACTGCTTCACGGCGGCGCCCAGACCTCATGATTTAGCATTTGCATCTCCCATTATCCGAGACAGGGGGCCGGCGGCATGGGGCGAAGCCCTTACGGATAAATAAACGCAAATCCCAGGATGCCCTGTATTTTCTCATCTTTTCTGGGTTTTCGTCTTCCCGCCCACTTCCCAGATTCTTCCTGGGAGTCGTCGATGAACTGTGCCTGTGATGTTTTCCCCTCCTGACAGATCTCCGACGGTGTGATGTGACTTTTGAAATCCATGCGTCCTCGGGCGCCCGTCACGGGGCGCACGGGGCCACGAACAGATGATCCAGGGCGAAGAGCTGCCCCCCCTGGGGCAAGAGTCGGGGCCCCTGGGGCCGAGGAGGATGCCTGAAGGGGGGGAGGGAGGGGGGAGCCTCCTCTCCCCTCCTCCCTGGGGAGAAGCAGCGATACCGATACCGCTGCTCCCCCGACCTCTCCCTGGGTGCGTTCTGACCAGCCCTTCAAGGAAAATCCGGCCGTGGCGGCGAGGGCTCTCCAGGACGGGCACCGGCATCGCTACCTCTTCCACCGAGCCAGCGAGGGCACTCTGGCACCGCTGACCCCCCCCTCCCTCTCCCTGCCCGTCCTCCTCCTGCGGGCCGAGGGCCTCTGGCTGAGCCCAGTCTGCATGGAGCCCCATTGCCTGCCCGCTGACCCGTCTCTCTCCCTCCCCGCCTGTCCTCCTCCCCCTCCCTCCTCTCCACCTCCCCTGGCCCTCCCCCCCCACTCGTCCGCCTTTGGGGCGAGTGGCCCACCGGGGCCACGCGTGTGAGGCGAGTCCGAGTCCAGCGCCGAATATATGCGTCGAGCGGAGCGAGCCTCCCGTCCGTCCACTCGCGCCCTCTGCGCCGGTCCTCCTGCCCGGGCCGAGGGAGGCCTCCAGCGCCGTGTCCAGGAGCTTCGGCAGCGGCTGCTGCTGGCGGCGACCGCGGCGCCCGGCCATCCGCACGCCGCTGGTCTCGCCGCGGCGACCGGAGGCAGCCGCCACGACGGCGGCGACCTGCGGCCACACCCCCCTGCCCTCCTTGCTATCCTGGCCCCTTGCTCTCCTCCTGCTCCTCCTCCTCCTCCTCCTCCTCCTCCTTCTCGCTGTCGTCGTCCTCCTGCTCCTGCTCCTACTCCTGCTCGTGCTCATGCTCCTCCTGCTCCTCCTCCTCCTCCTCCTCCTCCTCCTCCTCTTCCTCCTCCTCCTCGTCCTCCTTCTCCTCCTCCTCCTCCTCCTCCTCCTCCTCCTCGTCCTCCTCCTGCTCCTTCTCCTGCTCCTCGACATCACCATCACCATCATCATCATCATCATCACCATCATCATCATCATCATCATCATCATCATCATCATCATCATCATCATCATCATCATCATCATCATCATCATCATCATCATCATCGTTATCATAATCACCACCACCACTACCATCATCACCATCATCATCAGCAGCAGCATCAGCATCAGCATCAGCAGCATCATCATCATCATCATCATCATCATCAGCATCATCATCATCATCACCATCATCATCAGCAACAGCAACAGCAGCATCATCAACATAGTCAGTATAGTCGCCATCATCATCATCATCACAACATTCACCACCATCAACACCATCACCAGCAACATCATAATCATCAGCATGATCATGACCATAATCATCAGCAACACCATCATCATCAACATCGGCACAATCATCATCATCATCAACATCATCATCATCATCATCATCATCATCATCATCATCATCATCATCGTCGTCATCGTCATCGTCATCGTCATCGTCATCGTCGTCAACATCATCATCACCCTCACCATCACCGTCATCGTCATCGCCGTCGTCGTCATTAACGACAACGCCAGCATCGTCATCATTACCATCCACCTGTCCGTCGTCTTTCCATTGGGGTGGGGCACATTCTGGAAGCCTAGCGGGCTGTGGGAGATACTGGTCGTCATTGTACTGGCTCTTGCTGTGCACTGTGTTGCCCAGCAGGGGCTAGCTTTGTGGATGCCACGGCAATGGACACCCTAACAGTCGTATCATTGAATGTAAACTGTGGTTTAAATGTCGGAAAGCTGTTCCCAACATGTATTAAGCATGCATGTTACACGTTTTAAAACATGCTCAAAACATGTTTTAGACATCTGGAAATTATTTGGCAACACGCTTCCTCTCCATTGATCGGCCTCCACAAGGCTAGCTGGGGCACCCCGCCACAGTCGTGCAGAGTAGGCGCAGCGCACGCTGCCCGTGCGCTGCGAGCACACCAGAGGTCCACGGCGGGGGGGGGCAGGGCGGCGGCGAACTGAAAACCCAGTGAGCTGCAGGATGCGACGCCATGGCGCCAACGCACATACTACCCAAACGTATAAGTGCATGGATACCCATCGGTCGGAAGAAGCGGGTAGAATTGTGGATGTCATGGCAACAGACACTCTAACAATCCGACCAGTGTTGAATCAACAATATGTTTACCTGGAAAACATGTTCTAAACAACGTTTCAAACATGCTTTTGTTTTTGTTTTCATGTTTAACAGCAGTTTTGAAACATGCTCTAGACATCTGGAAATCATTTGGCAGCACGCTTCCTCTCCATTCATCGACTTCCACAACTGTAAGTGCACGGATACCCATCGGTCGGAAGAAGCGGGTCGAAGCCTGAGGTGGGAAGGCGTTGGAAGCAGATTGGACTTCTGCCCGCCCCCTGAAGAGCAGGCAAGAGGGACAATCGCTCGACTCTTGAGGCAGGAAGGCGCCTGCAAGAGCTCGGGATCCGGGAATCCAGAAGTACGTACTTTCAACCACCGATGGGTTCAGGATGCAGGGCTATAGCATGTCCTTCAGCTGGCTGGCCTTGCTCGCGTCTGCGCTGTCCGCGGCGGCGCTGGCGGCCGAAGGCGCCGCACCCGAGGCACGCGCCTCGATGAGCTGCGCGTCCTTCTCCTGCGCGGCGGCGTAAAAAAGGATCGGGCCTCTGGCCGCCTCCCTCCCACGGTCTCCCTCTTTCGTGAAGGGGGACAGGGGGGAGGGAGAGGGGAGGCGTGATGGAAGGAGGTCGGAGGGGCGGGCGGGTGTGGCGGGGGGGGGCAGAGGAAGGGCGAAGATGTGGGGGAGAGGAGAAAGGGGATGGGAAGAAGGGGCGGCACGGAAACAGCGTGAGAGGAAAACAACGATGAGGAGAGAGAGAGAGAGAGAGAGAGAGAGAGCGGAATGCATGTGCTGTAGGAGGCTGGGGATTGGCAAGGGAGTGAAGCGGGGGAGCTCACACAATCATACTGGTTGCGCCGTCATGCCATGGGCGCGACGTCTCAGTCAAGCTGCTTCTTCGCTGACGTTGTAATGAACATTGGGGTCGCCATGCTTTTCGAGGTGCTCGCCATGACGGTCCTCACGGCGACAAAGAGCGCAGCAATAATAGCCCTCTACTTCGTGGACCGTGGTCCTGCCTGAGCATAGATCACGTCCGACAACTGGTGCATCAACGACATGGGTTGACCGTGTTGTCTCCTTTTGCGCTGGGCTCAACCGGGTGGGGATCAGTCGTATCAGGGTGCAGCCACCATCTCGCCGAAGATATTCCCCGAGGCGTCAGAGGCACCCCAACACGGTTCTTCCCGCACGCATCCTGTGGCTCAGAGTCGCGCTCCTCCCCCTCCTGCTGCGCTTTGTCGCGCGAGGGACCCACCGCATCAATGCTGCACACACCCAACAAAACACAAGTTAACCTGCCACCGTCCCTGTCTCAGATGGTCCACAGGCAGTGAGAGTGCCAAGTCGAACTACCTGGGCGGGGCCTGCTCATCGCCAACGGCCAGGCAAACCGTGCCCGCAAGCCTGCTCCTCGCACAAGCATCCTCATTCCTCTCGGGTCGCTCGAAAGGGGGGGGGGGCTACCAAAGCAGTGAAGGGCTCAACGACTTCTGCCGACCCTGGACTCGCGCTGGAGCCGCCACAAGTTGCTAAGTGTCGCTTGAGATCTCCCGGTGTACTTGGATTTGCATTTACCTGCCAGGATGTACCTAGATGTGCTCAGATGTTTCTGCATCTACCTTGATGTATCTGGCGTTGGCCCCACGAGTCGATTGGCGTACCAAGCCCTTAGGGACACAAAGGGGGTGGGTCGGCGAATCGGCTCATGTAGCTGGTTTTTAGCGGCCCCGATACGCAACACGCGACACGTAGCGTATCGATGCGGAGCTCAGCACGTCGACTAAAAACGTCATTAGGTCTGACGCGATACAATTCGCCAAGACGTGGGCCAATACGCTGAGACAACACGCAGCGTATTGACACGGACGCTTTGAGCACAGTGCGTGTTGCGTCCCAAGCCGGGCGTGTCGAGGCAGCCAAAGGAGGGGGGGCCTTCTCAGAAGGGTCGGAAGGCCTCGGGCCTGCTGAGGAGCCTTCGGGGCTCTGGGCCTCGTCCGCAGCCGCAGAGGGCTTCTCGGGAGGCCAAGGCGCTTCTGCGAAGCCCCGCCGCCTTCTGAGCCGGCCTGCCCCCTCTCGTTCCCCCCCTCGGCGCGCGCTGGCTTTCTCGGCGCCTCCTGGCGCCAGGAGGCCTCCCGAATGCCGCGGCAGGCGCCCCCCGCGGCGGGGCCGAGACCAGCTGCACGCGGCAGATCACACACACACACATACGTACACACGCACACACACACGCACACACACACACGCACACACGCACACACCCGCCCTCGGCGGCGAGCGAGGAGGGGAAAGGGAGGAGGAGGAAGCCTTCTCAGAAGGCGGTGGGGCTTCTCAGGAGCCCGCCGGCCTTCTGACAAGTTTTCAGCGTCTTCGGAGAGGGCACAGACAGAATAGAATCTCAGGAGGCATACAGCCTTCCGAGCCTTCTGAGAAGGCCTCCTCCTTCTCACTTCCCCCCCCCTGGGGGCACCCAAAGGTACCGATACCGCAACTCCCCAGACCTCTCCTGGGTTGCGTTCTGACCAGGATTTCGAGGCGAATCCAGCGGTGGCGACGACGGAGGCCCAGGAGGCCCCAAAAAGGGGAACACGAGGGGAGGGGAGAGGTATGGGTACCTTTTCCTCCTCTGACCCCTCGCGCGCCGCCGATTGCCCCCCCGCCTCTGATCACCCGGCCCGATGCTCCCTCCCGATCCGTGGCGCCCTGCGCCGCGGCCCCAGCAAAGCCCCAGGAGGCAAGCCCCAGAGAAGCGGGGCGGGGCGTGGCCCCGCTGGCGCTGCGCGCCGCTCCCCACCCTGGGAGACGCGATGTCATCGGAGGCCGACGACGACGACGACGACGACGACGACGACGACGACGACGACGACGGCGGCGGCGGCGGCGGCGGCGACGACGGCGACGGCGACGGCGACGGCGACGGCGACGGCCGACGGCCGACATCGACGGCGACGACCGCAGCACATGCACTGAAGTCTGCGGGCCTTCGCCCGAAACGCAGTGCACAGGTTCGGCTGAACGTCTCGGCCTCGCGCACCTCCCCCGAGGCCTGTCCACGACACCGTGCGCGGCTGCGAACGTAGCGTCAGGGTCGTGCTCCTGCCCCCGACGCCCTCCGTGTCCGCTGCGCTGGGGCAGCCCTGGGCTGCAGGCCGAGAGCCCTGTGCAACGGGCCTCCGTGGCGGCAAGCCAGGGGCCCTGCCGGCCGTTCTGCAGGTCCGCGCGAGCGAGGCTCGCCCGTCGTACCAGGCTGCTCCCAGGTCGAGGCGGGGTGAAAAATCAACGCGGGGCCCGTCCGCGCGATCGCCAAGCCTCCTCCTCCGCCTCCTCCTCATCCAGGAGGCGGGGTGGAGAAGCGGGAAGAGGAGTCGCCAAGCCTCCTCCTCCTCCTCCTCCTCCACCTCCTCCTCCTCCTCGTCATCCAGGCGGCGGAGGTGGAGAAGCGGAAGGAAGACGAGGACCAGAATATCTGACCAAGCATCCGGGTTCACGCGCGTGCAATCCACCATTAGACAGTCCTGCGGTTTTGAATGATCTGTTCACGTGGAGGAAAACCTTTTGACTTGGGAACCCCCCAACTAGTGGCCTGCACGTATAGGGAGATCGCGAGGGCATCCCGTCTATCAGACCATCCATTCTCCACATTCAAGTCGTGAGGAGGACGAGGGGGGAGAGAAGAAGGGTGAGGAGATGACGGTCAACAGGAGAACGGAGGGGACAGTTGGCGGAGGAAGTGAGGATGAGAACAGGACAACTGGTGGCGAGGGTGTGAGGATCGCCGCGATGCTTGCAAGAAAGACAACGACGAGGAGGATGAGAGGGCCGGGGCCGAGGAGCAGTGGAGGAGGGGAGCAGAACGCAACCGACGCGTTGCTTCCGCCCTCGGCTCCTGCTTCGCCGAAGCGCGCCGCGCCCTGGCCTCCTGCGCGGCCTCCGTGGCCGAGCTGGCGAGTGTGTGCGAGTCCAGGTGGGCCGACCCGGCGTGCTTCGCCAGGCCGGCGTGCTTCGCCAGGCCGGCGTGCTTCCTCCCCGCGCCCAGGCGCTCGGCGAACCTCGCCAAGGCGGCTGCTGAGCCCCCACTCATCTCCGAATCCAGCTGCGCCCCCTCCGCTTCCACCCCCTGCTCCTCTTCCCCCCTTCTCTCCCTCCTTGCCGTCGCTCGGACGTCCATTTCCCGTGTATGTTTCGGTTTCGTACGTGTTTTTGTTGCTCGATGGTCCAGGATGGTCCTCGATGGTTCTCGCCGAGGAGAAATGCACACGTCCGAGCGATGCCAACTCCTGATTCGCCCCCCCCCCCTCCTCATCATCCCCCCTCCATAGATCATGCCCGTCGTCCTCACGTTCCTCGTCCTTCACCCACTCCCTCTCCTTCAACTCTCCCGCTTCGTCAACTCTCCCCCTTCTTCCTCCTACCCCTCCTTCTCCTCACCCCATTCTCATGCTGCCCCTCCTACGTAATCTCTCCTTCCCCGCCCTCTCTCCCTCCCCCTCACCCCCCATGCTGCTCTCCCAAACTCATTCCCTCTTCCTGCCTCATACCTCTATCAGCGCCTACAAAGTCACAACTATTCTCGATAATGATATGCTGAGGGGTGGTGCCAATGCAAATCAAGAGAATATGCTGGACATGCCGCAAGCAAGCATCCGGTAGCCAGGTGAGGCTCAGAATGACAAGTATTTCTGGCACAGCGCTCACCCGTGGAAGAGGAACAGGAGGAGGCGAGCCAGACTGAGGAGACCCGAGGATGCAGCAGAAGAGGCAGAAGAGGAGGATGCGGAGAAGGAGGAGGAGGAGGAGGCAAGGAGGAGGAGGAGGAGGCGAGGAGGAGGAAAAGCAGGAGGCAGAGGAGGCAGAGGCGGCAGAGGAGGAAGAGGAGGAGAAGCCTCGGGAGGAAGAGCGGCGCAGGAGGAGCTGCAGGAGGTGGAGCAGGCGCGCGGCGCGCGGGCGTGCGAGGTGGGCGTGCCGAGCACATTCGCAGCCCCCACCCGCCTCTGCTGGAGCGACGAGACGGAGGCCTCCTTCTGGACAGCGCACACCGCGTCGTCCAGCGCCCCCGGCCCAACTCTGGGGCGTGACTCCACGGGGCTCACTGCGGCGGTCACTCCTGGAGGCGGCTCGAGAGTGGACCGGCCTCGATGGAGAGATGGCAATGCGAGCGTGCGTGAGGAAACACATGTCAATACCACCCCCCCTCCTCAATTCATCTCTGCTTCTCCACCGCCCGCTCCCCACCTTCTACCTCCATTCCCCGTCCTCTCCCTCACCCTTTATTCTCCCACTCCTGCTCTTCCTCCTTCTGCTTCCTTACCCCTCTTCCCTCCTGGATACGCCCTCGTTGTCCCTCATCCTCCTGCTTCCCCTCCTCCACCATCTTTTCCTAATCTCCTGATCCCCTGCTCTCCTGATGCTCCGACTCTTCCTCCGATCCTCCTCTGGTCCTCCTGCACCTCCTCCTCCGACTCCTCCAACTCCTCCAACTCCTCCATCTCGCCCTCGTCACCGTCCTCATGCTGCTTCTGATTCTGCTACAAGCTGTTCCTCTGGCACCTGCTCCTGCGCCTGGAGATGCTGCAGCTGCTGCAGCTCTACTCATCGTCATCATTCTGACCGATTCCCTAGGAGACGCCTTCAAGCTCGTCCTGCCCATCTGCTTCTCGTACTGCAGCTGTTGTTGCTGCGACTACTCTTCTGCCTCGTCCGCCTTCCCGATTGCTCCTCTTTCGCGTCGTCCTCCGATTCTCCCCCTGTCCCTCCTCCTCAAAACCTTCACCGTCACTCGCCCGTTCTCACCCTGCTTATGCTGTCCCTTCTTCACCGCATGGTCCTCTTCATAATTATCCTCCCATATTGTCCCGCCATCTCGGCCACCTCCTCCTGCTCCTGCTCCTGCTCCTGCTCCTGCTCCTGCTCCTCCTCCTCCTCCTCCTCCTCCTCCTCCTCCTCCTCCTCCTCCTCCTACATGCCGTACTCGTCGTAACCAACCTCTCTTCGCTCATATCTGAGATGCCACATATACTGCATACTGCTGCACATCCTCCTTTTCCTGACATCCTCCTCCTCCTTCTCCTCCTTCTCTTCTCATCCTCCATCTTCGCCTACCCTCACAAGTCCCTCCCCTTCCATCTTCATCCGACTCCTCATCCGATCCTTGTCCCTTCCCCCTGTCATCTCTCATTTTCCCCGTTCCCTCCTGCTCCTCATCCCCCTTCAACTCTGGAGCCACTTTCCACAACAACCCTTCATCCTCAGCTCCCCACTCCTCATGCTGAGGGGATACAAAGCTGGGGGGGCTTCCAGCGCAAGCTTGTGTCCCTCCTGCCCCGCTCTGAGCCTCCCCACCTTCCATCCTAGCTCCCACCCCCCATCCTCCCTCCCTCTCCGCACCTTGCTCTCCTCCGTTTTCCCTATATCCTCCCCCCCTGTCATCACCTCATGCTGCGTCTGTTTCTAATTGATGTCCTCCTCCTCCTCCTCCTCCTCCTCCTCCTCCTCTTCAAAATCTCTTCTCCCTTCCCCTCCCAACCCCTGCGTGCCTCCCCCTCATCTCAAATCCGTTCTGCCTGATCCCTCATCCTTCTTCCCCAAATTTGCTCTTCTCCACCCCAGTCATGCCTGCCCCATCCCTCCTTCCAGCTCCCTCCTCCCAACTCCCCACTCCCTGATCTCGCATCCCTTCTCCCAAAACCCTCCTCACAATGACCTGATCTACAGCCTTCCCGCCCTCCTCCGTCCGAGCTCCTGAGACTCCTCGAACTCCCAAGCCTCCTTCTCCTCCTCCAACTCTTTCCGCTCCTCCCCATTCTGCATCTTCTGGGCACCGATGCCGCTCCTGCTACGGCAAACGAAGCCCGCAGAAACAAAGCAAAGCCCGGCGCTACCGCCGGGCCATGGGCCCGGGCCATCTGCTCGCGCGTTCACGCTCGGGTGGGGGGGTGCCGAAAGGGGAACTGGCACAGAAGGGGGTTATGAAGGGGCAGACGAGGAGGACGAGGAGGACGAGGACTGAAAGCGAGGGGGGGGGCGGACGAGCAGGACGAGGAGGAATTGGACTTACGTAGCACCCCGCAGATGCGGATGAGAGTGAGGGGGCGGTGGGGACGTCGGCAGATTGCGAGACTCTGGAGAAGCCCGCCGCAGGCGCCAAAGTTTCACAAATTATACAACGAGCCCGCCGCAGGCGCCGATTTTTTCGTTAAACCAATGTGAGTAAGTCGCGGGTGGGTCGCGGGTGGGTCGCAAATGGGTCGCGGGTGGGTCGCTGTTGGGTCGCGGGTGTAGAGGGCAGAACATCCACACCATAATAATCACCCCGACAAGCGAAGCCGCTTAGTAAGCGCACACACAAGGAATGAATCGAACAGGGCAGGGCTGCTTAGTAAACGCCCTAAGCCGTTTGGTAAACGTCAATTGTCGGGTCCGGGTGGTTTCTCCTCCCTTGAGGGTGGGTCGCGGGGTGGGTCGCGGGTGGGTCGAGGATGGGTCGAAGGTTGGGTCGCGGGTTGGTCGCGGGTGGGTCGCGGGATGGGTCGCGGGGTGGGTCGCGGGTGGGTCGCGGGGTGGGTCGCGGGTGGATCGCGGGTTGGGTCGCGGGTGGGTCGCGGGCTGGGTCGCGGGGTGGTGGATGGAGGAGGAGGAGGAGGAGGAGGAGGAGGAGGAGGAGGAGGATGAGGAGGATGAGGAGGAGGAGGAGGAGGAGGAGGAATGGGAGGAATGGGGGGGACGAGAGAAAGAAAAAGGGGGCGAGGCAGATCCTCACACCCCCGTCCAAGCCAGTCCGGCCGCCAGATCGCTGTCTGCTCAGCTCGCAGCCCAGGGGAGGGCCAGGGGCGGCAGCGATGGGGGGGAGCCGGGCTAAGGAGGGGAGACGCCGAGCGGGAATCGGCGGCACATCGCCGACAGATCGGCGATGTGGGCCCCCGATGGCGAATCCGCACGCTCCTGGGCGGGGCGAGCCATCGGGCACCCGTCCGCGATCCAGGGGCGATTGGGGGGCGATGCAGCCCCCCCCTGAGCCCATCCCCCCCCCCCGACGTTGCCCCGGAGGTCTGCTCCGCGAACGGCGGGGGGTGGGGGCGATGCCAGGCCTCCCCTTCCGGGCCCCCCCGAGAAGTGCGCACGCCCGAATAAGGTACACGGATGGACTGGTAAGGGGCCGAGGCCAGAGCCGGCGGGCCAACGGGCGCGGACCCCCAGAGAGGCCGGCGGGCGAGACCCAGAGGCAGGGCGAGGCCCCGATGGGAGCGGCGGGTGATTACGAGGAGGTGAGCGTGGGGAGCGGGGGAAGGGAGGAAGGGGAGGGGAGGGAGGAGGGGGAGGGGATGGGATGGCGGAGAGAGGGCAGGAGGGGAGGGGCGGGGAGGTGAGGGGGTGGGGGATGGCAGGGTACGTGGAGGCACGGGGAGATCAGGGGAGGGAGAGGGAGAGAGCGAGGCGGAGAGAGGCAGCGGAGAGGAAGGGGACAATACGGGCGATCGAGCGGAGGTGAGGGGGCACGGGAGGATGGGTGGGGCGGGAGAGAAGCAAAGAAACCCTGGGCCTCAGGTCTCGCCCGCCCGGCCTCCACGAGACGCTCCCTTTGGAGCCCCCCGACTGGTGCGAATATGGAGCCTCGGAGCCGAAACGGCTGTTCGGTGGCGTGCCCGCGCGGCGAGGGGGATGCGGAGGATGCCGAGGAAGCTGAGGGACAACAAGGGGGGAGGAGTAAGACGAGGGGGAGGGAGGATGAGGAGGCGGAGGGAGCACGAGGCAGAGGGGAGAGAGAGGAGAGGAGAGAGGAGAGATGGAGGAGAGGAGGGGGAGGAGCAGGGGGAGAAGCATGGAGGCTACAGAGCTGTACGTCTTACTCTGTTCTTTCCTGCGCGCCCCGGCCATGGCGAGCCACGGGAGTGACCGCGCACCAGCGTTCGTGGTACCAACGCCTTCCCTGTGGGCTCCCAAGCGCAGACAGACGAACACTACGGCAGGGTCGTGTCGCGGAAATCCAGGCGTTGGTTTCTGGCACCACGTGGGCCGTTCACCTTGGACGGTCGGCGGCGCATCGATCGCCAGATCGTCCCATGTTGGCAGCTTCTGGGCCACTGGCGGCGTTGAACCTGGAAAGCCGGCGGCGGAAACGCCGCCGCGTCGACACGACGCGAACCCGCCGCAACCAGAAAGAAAAACCCAACGCGGGGAAATGCACGCGGCGACAGGCGGGAGGTCGAAACCACCAGCCACAATGCCCATACGCCTGTCCAGCGACGCGACCTGCAAACGGGGCGGCGTCCGGACTGTGGGCGTGCGTCGAGTGGCCGAGTGGCAATGCGCATTTGGAGTGGTACTTGTCTCACCAGTGCGGCCGCTGCTGCAAAACGCGCGCAAACCAAGCAGCACACAAATATGGGTATAGACTGGCAGGTCGGCGAAATGGCCCACATGGGCACCAACAGTGAATGGGTTTTTTTACGAGGAGGACATCGGCGTCGGGTGTCTGGCATCGGCCTTCGCCAGCGTGCGGCGGTGCCTGCCGCCGCGACCTGGCGGAGCTCCTGCCTGCC